ATACCCTTTAGGCTACGGACTTTTATTTCTTTACTCAATTTCATGCTTGAATTTTAAGAACCACAACGTACATAATATATAAGGCCTCTAGATATGTTTGCATCATTTGACTTTGATCAGTAAATTATTCATATATGAATATAAATATAATTGAATATTTGTAAAACTTATAAACATAGAGTATGTCCTATTATGTTTGGTAGTATTTTACTTATTATGTGCTTATGTGTAATATTCAGTTCATCAAATTGCATATCTTATATTTTAACAATTATTAGGCAAATTCATATTTACTTGAAGTATATAATACTCAATTTCTCCTTCCCTCTTTGTTCCCGGGGAACGCGTATTCATCACTTTATTGTTTATTAACATTTCATTATTAGTAGAATTTATAAAATTAAAATTTAAAAAGAAGCTTTTAGAAGCATTCCTTTTATTTTCTACACAACATACAAAACATAATTTTTGATATAAATGTAATTTTTAATTTAGCATATTTTGGTAAAAAAAAAATATTTTTAAATTTTTTAATATTTGGTTGTCATATTTTAAAATCCTTATAAATGACGAAAATGATTTTTAAAATTATAATAGGAAAAACAAACTACATAAATGATATTGCAAGTTTATTATCTCCTCTCGATCTACCCAACACCTCCATCCCTCCTTTGACCATCCCAACTCCATTCCGCCCATATAATATTTTATGAGATTACATATAAATTATCTTGAGATAATATTTGATTTGCTTATTTATCAAGTATTAGAAAATAAGTAAGAAGATTACTTATTTTCGAAGAAGATATTTTTTGAGTGCACATAAACAGAATTTATATTAAAGTGAATAAGAAAGAAAAATATATTTTGATGTAATACGAATTTTAATTGAAATTAAAGTTTCGATTAAAATTGAACATATGATTTAGAGTCCTAATTTGTATTTATAAATAAAAAAGATGCGTTCATCGTATGTGACACTACTTCCTTTCCAAACAAAATTAGACTTCATAAATGCTTGACGTGGAAGCAGAATCAAACTATTTTTTTATCCATTAAAATAAAAACAGAGAATCAAACGGTTCAGATTCACTTTATTTTTCTTCTGAATTCCAATTTGTTCTTCAAAATCAAAATATGTTGGGGAAAAGGGGCCGTCCACCGATGAGGAGAACGACGAGCATGACAGGGATCACCGTTGATGTAGGTACTGGAACTGAATCGGAGCCGTCTGATTGTAATAAGCCTAAAATTACGGTGGATGAGATTAAGAGTTCGTCGGTAATCATGGGTGGATATAGTTCTGTGCCGGCGATGGTGTCACCGAGATACCAACGGAGAATCTCCGGCGAAGGTTTTGAAAGAGAAAGGGCTAATTTTCTGAGAATTTGTGGCCGTTGTAACCGCCGATTGATTAATGGACGAGATATCTACATGTACAGGTACAACTCTTAACAAACAAATATCCGAGAAAATAATTGTTATATTTTTTAATATTTACTTACTACTTACCTGTTATAAGTTGAAATCTAAATTTAATTATTTACTCGTAAAATCGATTTTTAAGTGCAGGAGCTCGAAAGAGTAACTCTGTTTCATGTTTCATATTATATTATATGTTTATTTATTTTATCATACATATATTTTTCTCTAATTAAATTTAAAATATAATTTTAATTTTAATTTTTTTAAATATGTGTTGGATCAAATAATATAAAACGGAGGAGGAAATAAGATAGATAGTTTGAAGTTTGTGTGAATTGATTATGAATATTAATAAACGATTTGTTTAAACTATTTGTGTGCCACTTGACAATAGTGGTGTATGATATAATAAGTTTTTTGGTATATATATATGCAGGGGTGATGCAGCATTTTGTAGTATAGAGTGTAGAGAAGAACAAATGAAGCAAGATGAAAGAAATGACAAGTCTAAAATTAAGCCAGAAAATCATCACAATCACTCTGAATTTCATTCTGCTAAATCTGATACTTCCAGCAACAATGACACCATTGCCGCAGCTTGAAGAAGATCATATGGTAAATGAAAGAGAATAGGCGTTTTAGTAAAATTTTAAAGTATGTATTGCTATTTTACACAAACTTACTCTAAGTTCAAATGCTACGTTCTAAGATTCAATCCCTCCTTGTGTTGTTTTTTTTACTTCTTTTATTTTTTCTATTTATCTTTGTTTGCATAATCTTTTGGGATGGGATAATTTCAGAGACCTCCCTCCAACACTCATCTCTCCTTGTGGTTTGAGATATTACGAATATCTCCGTTATTTTGACTTTTTGGTAACCATTCTTTATATCTAAAATTAATATAAATTAATTATAATTTGACAAATTTACCCTTTTTTATTATAATTTTTTTCCAGACAAATTGCGTATAGAACCCTTCTCCGTCACAATTCTTATCCAGCATCATAACCTTGTTCCTGCTAAAACCAAGAATAGAGCTTCAACATCATAATTTTTGGACTATTAGAAGTGAAAAGAGATGAATTGACTTAGCCTCTGCAACCAATAAATAATTATATCATCCCTTTAGAACTTACAAATTCGATTGCTTTGAGAAGTCAACAACTTCTTCTGTTATTGATCTCTCATGCAAGCTTATATCTAATATAGGATGATTTTATCTCTATTTCCTGAATCATTTCTTTCTTATCTAGCGGAAATATTTACGTAAACCAAATTAACTGTTCTCATATTATTCCTTTCCCGGAAATCCATTTTCACCTTTGATTTGAAGAAATTGCCCATGAATTGGTGAGATGAAGATGACGAGTTAATGTTTGGTGAAAATAATAGAGCTTAGTTGAATTAAATCACCCGTGGATTAGTTCACTTTATTTGCTGACCTTCAAACTTTGTTCGATAAAATGAATACGTGTATCTATATATATATATTAATTTATTTGAGTTAGTTTTCTTAAAATTATTTATTAAATAAGTCATTCCTAATAATATGTTTTAACATGAAGAAACTATTATAAAAAGGGTAAATATGTTAAACTATAATTAATTTATGTTTATTTTAAAAAAGTATAAAGAATGGTTATAAAAAAATCAAAAATAAGGGAGATATACGTAATATTTTAAAACACATGGGAGATAAGTGTTATAGAGCAGAACCTGAAGGGAGGTCTCCGAATTATCCCTAATCTTCTTTATTATATTTATTTTTCTTTTTTCTCATTCTTCAAAAATTTGAAAGTACTTGTTGAAAAAAGTTAATTTGAAAATGTAGTGTGCAAGATTATACAAATGCCACTATTATTGTTGTTTTTTTTGCTTAAACTAATTAATAGTACTACTTAAGAAGCTTAATAGTTGAAGACCTTTAGAACTTGACATCTATTATTCGATGTATATTTATTAATAGGATTCGCTTAATGTTGTATTTTGATAGAATTATAATCTTAGTACAACGAGGCAATGTTACACTCACGTGGTATGTTTAACAATAAAATTGAAAATGACTGAACAATACACCATTCAGTTGCATCAGAAGAGAGTGATGACAAGATAGAATGAATTATTGAAGCACAATCAAACATTAAATGTCAAATTTAAAAACAACTTCAACTGAACACACAAAACGAGATGATCATAAGGTAGAATAAACATTTAATTAACACTACCCTACTACTATTAGATGATGACTTATACTTTATATTGATGATTGTGCACATTTATGTTGTACAACAAATGTGGGAGGGATTGATGAGTTGTTGAATCAAGGTGACTGACTGCAGCTAGCCAGGGCCTGATATTTATTTATTTAAAAAAATCATGTCGATGTAGCGTGGACACTTGATAATGGAGAAAAGACATGAATTCTATTTTGAATTTGTTTCAAAAAATTGAATATATGATTAACCTATTACGATGACTTATTACATATTTTTACTATTAAAAAGTAAATTTAATATCATTCTTAGATGTATAAAACCACTCTCACAATGAAATGTATATAAATATAATATCACATTTGATGTCAGATAAGATTTTGAAAAAATATCTCCTTATCATCCAATTGCTTCTTCTTTAACCAAAATCATATAATTCACTACTAAAAATTGAAATAGTCGTCATGAATTTCACCACCTACCATCAAACTATTACTAAAATCACACCATCGTCATTGGCTCCACAAAAAAATAACACACTTACCCAAACTCATTGCCGAAACCATATTATCACCATCGAAAGAGACACTATTATCAATATCAATTTCTTTTTGTTTCAATTCATCTTCTTCCACCTGCCACCTTTCACCAACAAACCGATCGTTATATTATATTTTTTAAAGCCAACAAACAATTTTATCATCAGTCATCCGCAAAGCTGCCATCTCTATCATTTACTTGTTTTATTATTTTATGAGGTGAGAAAAAGAGAAGAGAAATTAGGTACATAAAAAGCATACAAATAAATTTTATGAAAGAAAATTAAGTTATAAATATGATTGAAATGACAAAAAAATTGAACTCATCTTCAGTTTGTTAGGAGAAAATAACAAACTGTGTTTGTCCTTTTCTATGTCCACCAATTTTTATGGTTATCAGAGTAAACATGAATGAACATATCAGATTGTCACCAGTGTTGCAACTACCAAACCAAAACTTGATAGTTGCACATTGCTGATTTATTATATTTTCATAATATAGCACATTAGTGAAAACACTATATAGTATTTCCGATAAGAATATCTAAGACCACGTCTCCAACTTCTTGCTGAATCTCTCTGGCGGAATCCACAACCGAAGGTCTAGCTCAATTAATTGTAGTGTCATTATATCTATGAAGTCTTCAGGGATGGAGATCAATGTCTCAACACTGAAAATGACAACAAAAAGAATAACTTTTAGAGACATTTGTTTAGTGACAATAAACAAAATGCCGCTAAAATTCTCCCTACATTCCAGTATTACCGGCATTTAGACTTTTGTCAGGAAAAATACTTCAGTACTGACAATTAATAGTTAATTCTGCTATATAATTTTCACTAAATATATATTTTCCCAAAAAATTATTTTCTTGTAAAATCCTTCTGTTGTCTAAGTCGACTACATATATTAGGGCAAATCTCTCTTCCTCGTCGTCCATGGCGTGAACTCGTCTCTCTCGTCCTTACCAGGTAATCTGTGTGTACTCCTTTTATCTCTCTTCCTTCTGTTTTCCCTCTCTCACTGTATATTTTATCTTTTTGATTTGGCAGATCCGCCTCTCTCCTCTTTCCTCTCCTCTTTTTGAATAAATGTAGGTTTATGATGTTTTATCTAAAGGAAAAAGTATTTATTTTTTATTTTTGGGCTTAGTTTTAGAGTCGCCACTTAACTTTTTAAGAAAAATTAAGAAAATTTAGTTTTCAAAATATTTAAACAGAAAAACAAATTGAAAACCTTAAGGGGTTCGGGAATTCTTATTTATATTTTAGGAAGGTGTTTAAGGCATCTAAAAGTATCGTCTGTGATAACCTTCTCAACTTTGATAGCTCCCTTTTCTACGACATCTCGAATAAAATGAAATCTGACATCAATGTGTTTGGTGCGCTCATGAAATCTTTGATTTTTAATCAAATTAATAGCACTTTGACTATCACATTTTAGAATTGATTTAAGCTGAGCTGAACTCAATTCTGCCACCAAACCTTTCAACCAGATAACTTCTTTCACTGCCTCCGTTGCTGCCATATATTCTGCCTCTGTTGTAGACAAAGCGACAATCGACTGTAAAGTCGATTTCCAACTAACGACACTGCCAACGAGAGTAAAGATGTATCCAGTTGTGGACCTCCTTCGATCGAGATCCCCTGCATAGTCAGAATCAACATAACCGAGAATTGAAATACCTTCACTTTTTCGAAAGGTTAGGCCAACATCAGGAGTTCCTTTGAGATATCTCAATATCCACTTGACAGCTTCCCAATGCCTTTTTTCTGGATTTGCCATGTACTTGTTTACTACACTTACAGATTGGGCAATATCTGGACGTGTGCATACCATAGCATACATAATGCTACCAACTGCACTCGCATAAGGAACCTTTGACATATGCTCTAACTCATCCATAGATTGAGGCATTTGTAACTCTGAAAGCTTGAAATGAGAAGCTAAAGGTGTACTTACAGGCTTGCTCGTATCCATATTGAATCTTTCAAGAACTTTTCGGATGTACCTCTTCTGAGAAAGATGTACAACACCATTTTCTCTTGAAATTTCCATTCCAAGGATTTTCTTTGCAACTCCTAGATCCTTCATGTCAAATTCCTTGCTCAACAGTTTCTTCAAAATATTTATCTCTGTGATGTTGTTAGCAGCAATAAGCATATCATCAACATACAACAAAAGATAAATCATAGAGTTACCAGACATCTTCTTGTGATACACACAACTATCAAATGCACTCCTCGAAAATCCATGTGTAGTCATGAATGCATCAAACCTCTTGTACCACTGTCTAGGGGATTGCTTCAAACCATACAAAGACTTGTTCAGTTGGCATACATGGTCTTCTTTTCCTTCAGCTAGGAAACCTTCAGGCTGATCCATATAGATTGTCTCTTCTAGATCACCATGTAAAAAAGCAGTTTTGACATCAAGTTGTTGAAGCTCTAAATCAAACTGTGCAACCAATGCTAGCAGCATGCGAGTTGAGCTATGTTTCACGACTGGAGAAAAGATCTCATTGTAGTCAATTCCCTCCTTCTAACTGAAACCCTTTGCGACCAATCTCGCCTTGAACCTAGTAGTTTCCACTTCTGGAATACCTTCTTTCTTTCTGTAGACCCATTTGCATCCAACTGTCCTTATCCCCTTTGGCCTTTTAACTAAGACCCATGTCTCATTTCTGTGAAGAGACTCCATCTCTTCCATCATGGCCAACTGCCATTGTGCAGCATCTTTGCAAGAAGTTGCTTCAATATATGAAGAGGGCTCGAGATCCTTAATCTCTTCTTCTGTAGCTACGAACGCTTGTGCAATCACTTTGAGTCTCTTGATCCCGTTTCTTGGTAAGTTCCACCGGTAGCTCCACCTGCTCGTTGTTCTCGTTTCTAGATGACTCCACAGAAACTTTACGAGGATCAAGTATAGAGGATTCATCAAAGGTAACATCTCTACTAACTACAAATTTGAGTAAAGACAAACACC